GTTCCATTCAACTTATCAAGTCTCACCCAAATCTACACAACTTTAGATAGGTAAAATGGTATTAAAAACTAATCAGATTAGGAATTATCATGTGCTTCAGTAGCACCAAGTCTGTGGTTTGGATGTTCACGCTTACCAAGTGTAGCGGTTTACCCTCTGACTAAGGCTTGAAAGCCCACCTTCAAGACTGGCAGCAGGTGGGGGGTCCTTGCTGTCAGTTGAATGTAATTCTTACTTTAATAATGACGATGGGGTGGCCTTATATGTAGGCCATGTAATGCTTCGTTTATGTGACTATATGACAAATGGGGTGCTGTGGTCATCGTAATGCTTACCGCAGAAACCGATAGTAAAATAAACAAGATAATGGGTAGCCTTCTCTTCTGTTGATTGACGTTCACGGTTCTCTCCATGATGAATATCATGCATCAATCATCAGAACGCAATTGCTACTGGGAGAATACACCAATGCGACACTCTTCATCGTCTATGTGACTGAAGCTGCGGGACATACTTGGTCTCTATGCCACTGATATTGCTCAATAGGATCGACTGGTACTGAGGTTTCATCTAGCTTAAGAACAGGAATTAGAAACTAAAATCTTATCTCTTACAAAAATTGATTCGTAAAGGGTAATATATATCTGTTAACATAGGTTCCCGAATGCATTCGCATATATTTAGCACCTCTTAGAGGAATTCAGAACAGATGTCGCTTGCGGGAGTAATAGCTTTCCTGTTAAACACGGAAATGGCGAAAATCATAAAGAGAGGTGCCAGCCTCAGTCGTTTAACCTGTAGCATATGTACTTTATTCGCAGTGCTTTTGGCGGAACCTAGTCGGACTCTTGGCGTGGTCTAAAATGTACCCTATCTGTCTGATGCAATGTGGCCACCTTAGTGTTTTGGTTGATGTACACACTCAAACGGTGTTACGTTGGAAAAACACATAATTTGATTGCCGACTAAGCAATTGTTTTATGGGCTTAAATACTAAACTAGTAACACTGGATTTATGTCGACATCAGAGAGGAAGACTAAAAACGTACTACTTAAATAATCGGATTTAAAAGTAAATGGGTTGCTTAGAGACTGCAAGTACATCTAAGACTTCAAATCTATCGCTATTTTATTCTTGACAAACCTTAAAATACATTACCAAAAGTATGAATATTGTACTAAATTATCAAATCTTGTGACCTTGTGTTTGTTTAACCCACTGAGTGAAGGTTGTCTTTTGAGGCTAACATTTAAGAATAAGGTCATCGAAAACGGCTGACTACGCCAAGAAGATGGCTCCTAGCATGGCCGGAATACGGGAGGTACCTTATAATATACTATAATTAAAATCCACAGGGTGTTCGTATCCTCTTTGACCTCGGATACATGAAGGACTTGATGGGTGAAGTTTGTTCTGTTAGGCGAGATGGAACACAAGTTCGAAGTACAATTGACGGTGAAGTAAACTAAATTTTTGCAAACGCCTAATTATAGGTTAAAATCCTTAACATTAAGAACCTACGGCGGGTTCGCGTTGTTGGCCCGGTGGAAGTGGATGGTGTTGACAATATGGTGAATTTGAGGTAAATATTGACCATCTAACATCCCAGAAATCTTTCACAAATGACCATTCTAGACAACCTAAAAATTCGATATAACAAGAAAAATATTTATGTAAGTTTGTATACTGCATAATTTTTGTAGACCTACATTGGCAATATTTTGGTCACTGTGAACCCTTATGTTGATCTTCTTATCGATGGTCTTGACGTAATGGGAACATATCGAAATCAACCTATAGCTTCAATGCCGCCACATGTCTACGGTATAGCTGAAGGAATGTATCAGAATTTACTGCATGACGGTGTTGATCAGGTCGTGATTATAAGGTAAATCTAGTACTTTAATTGAATAAAATATTTTTATTACAGTGGTGAGTCTGGTGCAGGTAAAACGGAAGCTTTTAAAAGAATACTACGTCATCTTGCGGCTTCCAGTGAAGGAGATCAAATTACATGGGGTTCTGCTGCTCAAGGAGTGCTAGAGAGTACTCCACTTCTCGAAAGTTTTGGTAACGCTACAACCTTGAGAAATGACAATTCATCTCGTTTTGGAAAGTTTGTTGAAGTCTTCTTTTCCGGGTACGTGATTCAACGCAAATATGCTTTTCTCAACCATACAGTTTTTATAATTGTTTTTGGTTTCGTGATTATTTAGTCCATCCATTATTGGAGCCCGTGTAACAAATTATTTACTTGAGAAATCACGTGTTGTACAGCAGTCTCCTGGCGAAAGAAATTATCACATATTCTATCAACTTTTGAGTGGCCTCGATAAGGATACGAAAGATGCTCATTATCTAACCTCTATCTCCGATTTCGCTTATCTTCAATACGTACGTTTTTTTTAAACTGGATTTTTGTCGTCAGATAATTGTAGAATGATTTTGGTTCCTGATTATAGGGCAAAGCTAGTAAAGTTGCTTCAAGGTCAGATCCAGAAGCATTGCAGGTTCTCTTGAATTGCTGGTCAAACCTGCGTTTCACTGGCGAAGATATGGATTTGTGTCTTCGCATTATGTCGGGCGTACTGCATTTGGGCAATGTTGAGTTTGGAGAGCGTGACGTACGTACTTCTGTCTTACATGGCTTTTACCTGTTTGCATACAAACTCATTAGTGGGAAGTGCATTTTTTAACGTATTCTTCAATGTTAAACCGAATCATGCTTGACAGGATTGTAAGGAAGATCTCCTTGTGTTTTCCAGTTAATGGTTGTAGGATTAGAAGCTAGTGCACGTACTATTTTTCGGTGTACATTATACACTGAGGTTTCAACAAAGCTCATCTCATTTTTTACGGTTTCAACGGTCGTTCAAGATTTTCGTGATTATATTTTTTGGTGTGCAGTTGCAAACTTTCTTAAGTTGTCGCCATTCACAATGCTCTTATTGTTTGTCTTGTGTCTCCTAGGGACCAAATCCTTTTTAAGTATGTGGTGTCGTATTCTTAAAACTTCTTTAAATCATTGGAGTCTATACGCTTCAATGCACGTTGTTGGTGCAATCATTTTTATGTGTTAGTTTCACTTAGCAGGGATTTCTGCCTCTGTTTCCGCCTT